CAGGGACAGTTTGTGTAGGAGAAACAAAAGTAGCATCCCGTGAGCAGGGTTCAATGAATACCACGGGGACACACTTACCGAGAGCGCACACACCGTTAGACACATGGTAGACACCGGAGAACACATTGTAAACCCACAGCAATGGAGCATGGTGCAATGCATACCAACTTAAGAAAAAGTTTCGACAGCGAAAGCTAACGAGGACGTCAAGGTTTAAGAATCGCTGCGCATTCGCGATCTACGTAAGAGGCTGAACGTACAACCGTCCTTATAGGAATATGGTTTGAGCAACATTGTATAGATTACGCAGGATTAGAAAAAAACTATATTGTGATCAACATAGAGATATCTAAAAATATCCACAGAAATATCTCAAGCAATGTTTCGCTGTGATGGACACCGATGCCACTTGGGAAACTTTTTCCATCCTGATGCTCGGCGCGGATCATCAAAACCATTCAGCTTAGCTGTTTGTGTTTCGAGCAGCTCTAAGCATCACACCGTGTATTGGGTGTTGGGACGTGAAAAGGTGAATATCCTCAACATTTAAGTGGTTCGTGAAATATTTTTGGCGCTTGATATTGGCGATAAATAATTTTGTTAACTAATTCTCGGCATGGGTGTTCGTAATCTTCTAGCTCACCCGCCTGCCTTTTGTGCAGCCCCTACTGTTCAACTGTGTATCGGGAGTTAGGATGAAGGAACTCAGATTTTTTTTATTTTGACATTTTTTAGTGATAGCGTCGGCACAGATTCGTGTTAATTACTCTTCATTCACGTGTCTTGGCTCCTAACACGTAATTTGGTCGCTTAACCTTGTTCGTTTGTGATGATAACCACAGCCTGAAACGTCGAGTATTGACCACGCGAGCAATGCTAGCTCAATAACACCGTTTAACCAGTTTCTTCCGTTTTACTGAGGGACGGTGACTGTCAACATCGAAACTATGCGCCCAATACCCTCTTTCCATTGATGCAAAGTGTATTTTCTGCGACATCAGGCGTCATAACTCCTGTGACGGCTGCCAACGCAATGACTCTTGTGTAAGGTTCACCAGAGGTGCTGATAAATCTTCGATTTATCCTGACCTGCCACGGGGATCCTGAGATGCCAGAGGTGGTTATTTCGTCTCCCCCCTAGCGATCGCGTACGGCCTCTCCAGTCTGTGCGGGGGTTAAGAAGGGCTTCTTCCCAAACGCGTGTGTTTTCCAGACTAGCGGCAGGAGCTTTTAGCCGAGACAACCTGCCCTGAGCGAAGCACCTACCAATGACGCGTTCTGTTGTATTCACGCAGGGAAACGGCTTTACCGGCAGCTGGTGCGGTTCGCTCAGCGGCGACGGCCGGCGTCGCCAGTAAGATCGCCAGCTTCGGCCGGTGAGGCCGCCGTCGGCCCACCAGTCCTGGAACTGGTCAGGCTTGGCGGCCACGCTCTCTCGTCTGCGCCGGGCAGCCAGCCGGCTTTTATAGTGCATCACTGACGTGACAGGCCAAACGGTTCGCTTCGATCCAGATCTGGCCGCAACAAGCTGGGCCGCACAAAAGCTGGACCCGGTTGTCGCAGGGACGTAATCACAGCCTGCAGGAAGTGAGCCTTGAAGTTTTGGTAGCACGCCATTCCACAAATGGTCCGAAAATACAGATCAAGGCGCCGTGGAATCGACATAGCACAGACGAGACACTGTTTGTGCGAAATGGACTGCTGGCGACGAACTCGGTCGTTTACATCGGGTGAAGCGCACCAGATCGATTTCTCATAATGTTGGTCACTCCTCAGCCAGGAGTGATGGGAAAGGGAGGGACAAAAACAGCTCAAATATCTGGAAGAATTGCAACATTTAAAACTAGTTATAACAGGAAGCGGAACAGCAAGACACCTTCATCCCTTGCTTGACCAATCCCTTGTTTAGAGAAAGCAATATATCGGTGATTAATTAGAGTGAAATAACTCTCAGTTGTCCAGACATGCGCATTGGGTGCAGTCCCAGCTGGCGAGGACGTCGTGCTGAGTTGCTGTGGGAGAGTCTAGCTGGGTTTGCTTCTGCGCGACACTGTCCGCTCCTGCAGCCCATTGCCAGTGGTCTGAGGGGCGGCGCGGAGCCTAGGGGCTTAGCCATTACCGTGAGGGGTACCCCAGGGCCTTGGAGCCGAGCCATTACCCTGAGGGGTAACCCGGGGTCTAGGGGCGTAGGCAGTGCCCCTGGGGGTCAGTCCATGGTCTCGGGGCGTAGTCAGTACTCCTGAGGGGCAGCCCAGGGTCCACGGGTGCAGCCAATACCCCAAGGGGTAGCCCAGGGCCTAGAGACCTAGACGTTACCTTGGGAGGTAGTCAGGGTACCAAGGACGCAGACAGTGCCCCGGGATGTAGTCCGGGATCTAGCGTCTAGCGATTACCGGGAGGTAGCCCGGGGCCTAGGTGTGTAGCAGGGGCTCTGAGGCGTAGCCCGAAGGTTAAGCGTGTGGTCAGTGCCCCGAGGACTAGTCCGAGGTATAGGGGAGTGTCATGAGGGGTAGTCCGGGATCAATGGGCCTGTCAAATATTGTAAGGCCGCGCGTTCGTTTAACATGTCGCGAGCGTCAGCGATGAAAATTACGCTAAAATTTCGCGGATGAGACATGTCAGTGATATGATCGCGTTCGCAGATGTCACCAGCTGTCGCAGATAGCTCTTGTTCACAAGTGCACGTTCGAAAAAACAATTCGTTATGATAGATAGGTAGAATGTGAGCTAAATATTCTAAGGCCTCAATCCGACTGCGACAGTTCTCCTACCAGCCAGCCTGAAAACGTTTCTGATTTTTTTCATGAGCACGAGCTGTTTAACACTGAGTTTCTCGCGCATCGCCATAGCACATCCTCCGGTAATCGAAGCTGGGTGCACAGCTAACAGAGGATATTATGATGAGCAAACTGAGCAAACAATACATCATATGTACAAGCTAATCCTGCGTATGTGACACAGGCTTTGCAGTTGGTTGCCGTTTCCACGTAGATCAGACGTGAGGTGGCGCCTACTCTTATTAGCTGGCCGCAAGTCCGGCGTTACGTAACGGCAGACCCTTCGTTGATAGCAGCACAAGCGGCCACAGAGGTAGCTACGAACTGTCGGCAGCACCGCCTTAACACGGCCTTACATTTCGACCCCCCCACTACAGCACATGCTACAATCACGGCTGTGCCACATCATTTTCCTACGGTGCTACTGGATCAGGGCAAACCTCTTCCATACATGTCTGCATTGGTAACTCAACAGGCGTCGTACAGCTCGTGTGCTGACCGCATGGATATGCATCCATTATCCATCAGCACTCTTAGCACTCGATATTTACATGGTGCTGCAGCATACTGCTGGGATTCGTCATACCCAGGACGCCCGAGTTCGCCCATGGCCGCAGTGCTCCACCTCGTCACCCGTCGTTTCTATGCCGACTGTTCTTTTCACGGTGACTGCTGCAGCTGGTGCACTGACTGTCCCGAACCGACGTCGGGGAGTTGGGCCGAATTCATCCTTGAGCTGTCGCTGCTAACTCCCGAGAATCGCGGCAGTCGCCGTGGCATACAGGCTTGGAGCTACGCGCGCACTCTCCTATGTCCAGTAGTCCCAAGGACAGAGATGGAACATTCCTGTATGACCATAAAACATGAACGGAGTGCCATTATGAATATTTTTAGGTTAGTTACTTGTGACGCATCGAGACGTACCGCTTCACGCTCTTAAGTGAATTTTATTTTTTTGTATGATCGGGCGTGGCATACCAAAGCGTGTCCGCTTGCTCCCGTTCTGTGTGAACCGTCTCGGATCACACGTTGAATTTTTCGTAAACACACAACTTCACTTCACTGAACTACGATGCATCGCATTCCGGCATCTGGTTGACCCACAGCAGCATGGGTTTCCACCGGGCGCAGACGGCAGGCAGCGCCTCTGGCGGCAAATGACCAAATCAGCAGTACCGAACAGACGGTGCCGGCGCCCGGGCGACGTGCGTTCGTGCTGGCGGCGGCACCAGCGCTACGCCGACCCCAGCGGCTCGGGCCAGCTGCCGCGTGACCAGACACGCTTGCATCAACAGCTGCCGGCGGCACCGCGTCAGACGACAGCCCAAAGCTGGGCGGACGGGGTGTGACGCTCTTACCGAACAGTCCAAGACCATCGCGAGCTGTCCTGCGCGCCGCCACCAGCAACTGCCCACGTGGGGTAAGGAGGTGGCAGCTAGGTGCCAAATACGCAGCAACAGCCGACCCTGTCCTCGCATGTGCACGACAGGAGGTGTATTACCACATTCAGGCAGTGTCAAACGGTACTGATGCATGGAGCAAGAGTACGAATTGATTTGTTGCAAATCAATCATGATTGTTCACTTAGCACGCACACAAAGTTCGCGTTAGCACGTCGTTCCAAATATATTTTAGCGGACCATCAGCTGCGAATATATGACTGAGTAAAAAGAAATCAGTCTTCCTTTACACATCTCACAGCGCTAGACAATTACAATAGTCCAGTAATCGTGTCACGCCTTCACGAGTTCTGTAAAATAAACACAATAATCGCTATTCCTTGTCTAACTGGGCCAGGGACGGCGGGGGAAGAAGGGGGATGGGAGGGGGGGGGGGGGGGGGCGGGAGGGAATGGGGACGGGAACGGGGATGGGGAGGGGACCGGGCTGCGGCTGCCGCTGGACCAGGCACACGCGCGCGCGCGCGGGAGCGCAGTTGTGCAGTCTTCTGCGCCGCCCGGGCAGCCGGAAGACACGGCCGCGCACGGCTACCTCGCAAGACGGGCGACGGCGCAACAAACACATTTCACCTCCTTTGGCTTATCGAACGCAGAGCCGGATTGTCCTACCACAGGCAAGGTGAAATTCCTTTAAAAACCGAACACACCGCCCTGCAAGCAGATATCGGCAGGGCGGCCGAGACGCCAACGGAGCGCCCGTCGGACGTCACAGGAGCGGCTGACGAACCCCGCCGAGACGGGCCACCGCCGCCCAAACAAATCAAACGGGGCCGGCCGAACGGCCACCCTCTGCCGGGACACTATATCACAGAATAACGACAATACTCGACAGACGCCGACTGAACTAACAAAACCGCCGCGCGCCGCTCCGTTAGAAAGACATGAGGCCGCCGCCGCGGCGCGGGAGGACAGGAGAGGAGGAGCCGGTGGCCGGGGCCGAGAGCGTCAGCAGATATCACAGAGAGCCGGACGGGCGGCCGGCCATCAGGACTTGGGCGGCCGGGGCGCGGCGAACGGCGGCGGCCCGGCGGCGGCCGCCGCCGCGGCGCGCTCCTTGCCCGCCAGCGGCACGTTGGCGTAGATCTGGCGCGGGAAGTCGGTCAGCTCCGGCGACCTACGGGCGGTGCCGCACGCCGTTAGCGCCCAGCCCGGCCGCGGGCCCGCGACGATACGGCACGCCCACACAACGGCCGAACACGAAGAGAACACTTAGCGCGCGTCAGCGACTCGCCCGGCTCCGAACACAGTCCCTAACACAGATCCTTCCACACGCATGACGCCTGACCCATCACAACAGCGGACCGTGCAGACTCTGGGCCGGGATTATGTAGTGGTCGGTCGTGCGCCGCCACAGCGGCGGCCGGTCCGTACCTGGTCAGCTGGTTTTCGGAGACGGCACGGCTGGCCATATGCCGCTCGGGCGCCGCCGAGAGCGGCACGCTCGGCACAGGTGACGGACTGGTCGGCAGCGACATGGTGGAGCGCGACAACGCCTTGGCCTCCTTCGAGTCAGTCGGCGCGCCTGCCGACTCCGTCGAGTACCGGATGTTGGTGTACTCGCGGCCCATCTTCTGGCTCACCTGGGGGAGGGAGGGGTCAGGTCAAGTTCGGTCAGCCGGACAGGCAACCAGGGTCAAGTTGCATGTCGGGCAGGGGTCAGACCAAGCCAGCTGGCTACAGGCGGCCCGGGGCAGGCTACACCAGCTGCACAGAGGTGGGCCAGTCAGTCAGGTCATCCTCCGTCCCAACACACGGGGTAACGAACTTCCCACATGCACTACACTCCCATGGCAATATGGGTAACGTATTCCCACATGCTCGGCAGTATGCCATGTCACCACTATTTATGAGTGTGGCTCTGGAGCACGACCGCACAGAACGCCAGCAGCCGCGGGTTGAGCAGCTGACGACACAATATGTCGGCCGCGACCAAATAATTTGTCACCACATCCGCAGAGAAAAAAAATCAAAGGGGAGCCACGCCACCGTGACCGACGTACACAGGCCCACCTATTACGACTGTGTCACGGTGACCAAGCTGAGGCAAACACATGGTGCCATAGTGGCAATCGGGTCAGAAGACACGTGAAGAGCGGGCGCCCAGCGTCTCTGTTCCGGCCCCGGTCCAGGTTCCGGTCGCAGTACCGGTCACGTCCTCGTCCCCATCCCGGTCCCAGTCCAGTCCCAGTCCCAGTCCCAGTCCCCAGTCCCAGTCCCAGTCCCAGTCCCAGTCCCAGTCCCAGTCCCAGTCCCAGTCCCAGTCCCAGTCCCAGTCCCAGTCCCAGGCCCAGTCCCAGTCCCAGACCCAGTCCCAGTCCCAGTCCCAGTCCCAGTCCCGTCCCGTCCCGTCCCGTCCCGTCCCGTCCCGTCCGGCTCACCTGTTCCGCCTGAAGCTTCAGCTGCAGCGTCTCAATATAATGCTGCACGGCCAGGTAGACGAACTTGTACTGGGCCTCGGTCTGCACCATTCCCGAGCGCTGGGAGCGCACCTGCTGGATGGTCCTCTGGATGTCGATCTCCGTGTCCAGGCCTGCCGACATCACGCCACACAAACGTCGCTCAAATACTGCCACCCCATTGGACATGCGGCGTTCAAGGTCAAGATGGCTATAATCGTCCGGTCGTTCATGTCTGGCGTTCGTGCGCACGGTACCCATACATAACTGACTTCAATTGGCTCTCGATCTATGCCGTGCAGGCCGCGCAAAATCCAAACACAAGTCACGTTTTGTGCCACCTAACACAATAAGTTGCAGATGGGCCACCCTACCCTAGCATGCAGATGCTAGGGCGGCAATTTTGCACGCTCAGGTTGGCAGCACCTCTAACGTCATACAAGCGTTCTATGACGCAATCAAACAATGCCGTGGTAAGGAGCACAATTACTGGATAAATACTGTGCTGTCCAGAGCAGTCTTTTCCACTTAGACGGAAATCGCGAGTTTTAAATGAGCTTACTTCATCATATCTGCCGCTTGCTTCAGCATCTTCAAATGCGGAACATTCCCCTCGAGATGTGCATGACTTGTAACACGACTGACACTGGCAAAACGTACCGCTGCCCGCCCACTCGCAAGAACGCAGTTCTGCCAATCTCGAATAACTGACTACTGCCTGCAACGCTGCCATCTCCCGGCTGTATTCCACGCACGCCGACGCCGCCTCGTACGTCACATCCGCCCCACAAAACCCTCGAGTCGGCCGGTCCGGGGCTCCGCTCGCAGCGCCGCCGCTGCCGCGCGGCCGGCGCCGCAGCAGCGCGCCACCTTGCCGGTCGATCTGGCTGAGGATCATGTCGATCACGATGAAGGTGCCGGTGCGACCGATGCCGGCCCGAGCAGTGCACGACGATGGGGCCGGCGCCGGCGATGCCCTCCTGCTGCGAGTTCACGTCGTGCAGGAAGTTGAGCACGCAGCCCGGGTCGGACGGCACGCCGTGGTCGGGCCACGCCTGCCGCCAGCGAACGCGTCAGAGGAGCGGCCGTCGGCACCGCCTCCGCTAAGAGGGCCGTGTCCACCGCAGGAGACGAAGAGTAGCGTTTCGTATCGCCAGTGCGGGCGGCGGCCGGGGCGCGGCGGCCAGAGCGGTCCCGCTCGCCAGTCAGCCCACAGAGCCTACAGGGGTGACAGCTGATGGACGCCGCACAAGCGGGCGCAGTCCAACGCTCGCTCCGGCCAACAGCCGGCCCCACGCACTGGACAATGTGACCAGACTGACGCCTCTCCGGCTGGCCCTGCACTGCAGTGTGACGGCCCTCGTCACGCAGCACGCCGTCTCCCCGCGGCGACCGTCCAACAAGAGGGCTACGGATGACGTAAAGACGCCACGGGACGGGTGAGGCTCATGTAAAAACGTGTATGCCGCCATCATATGGACTAAAAAATCCCTTCATAACAGCATACTCAATGCGTCATTAACCCCCGTAGACACGAAAGTGCGGTCCATGCGCGTACGACGGAGGCGTTCTGTGATCTCGCTATGAGTGCCGCGTTCGCGTCCAGCTCTCCAGAAGACACCCCGCCATACTCACGGTGAAGTGGTAATGATAGATTTTTCGCTCCTCGTTGGCCCCCTTCTTTTTGACGGAGAAGGCGCGCAGTGTGTAGTCGACGTTGGTGGACTCGGACAGGTTGGTCACCGTCACGCTGCCGTACGTCTTCTCCTCGTCCTCCTCGGGCCAGTACCGCGCGCACTTGCCCTGCGGCCAGACACCAGGCGTCACCCTCAGACACACCAGGCGCCGGAACAGCGTCCAGCACTACGACAGCAGCCGAAACCGTCACACCAGGCGTCACCCTCAAACACATTCGGCGCCGGAACAGCGTCCAGCACTACGGCAGCAACCGACGCCGTCAGACCAGGTGTCCCCGCCAGACACGCCCGGCACCGGATCAGGGTCCGGCACTACAGCAGCAGCCGACGCCGTCAGACCAAGCGCCACCGCCAGACACGCCCGGCACCGGATCAGGGTCCGGTACTACGGCGGCAGCCGATGCCGTCATACTACCCAAGCCAGGACAGATCAGGCGGGGTGCTAGGCCGATCAGCGGCAGGGCGTGGTCCAAACGGACAACTTACTTTGCGGTCATAATATCTCGAAATGGCTTCCAGCTCTGACATACCCTGCATTCTGACAGGTCGTTACTAGTTGCAACGGATCGATACGGAGTTTTGGCGCAACTTGAGCCGCGTTCGTGGTACAATTGTGCAGAGCTTACGACACGTAAAAGCTATGATGGTGCCGCTCATTTGAGCTGTTAATACACCTTCCAAGAACCGTCTCAAAGTAATTGTTAACGGGAATCTTGAGACCTGTCTCCAGCGCTCTTTACACTGGTTGGCGCACGTACTCAATGAAATGAGAGGACGAGAAGTGACAAGCGGGAGTATTCTACATTGCCGACTCCCGCTAGCGCGAATACCGCAGGCAGCGCCGGAGATCCGGCCCAGCGTCTACACCGGAGGCGCCCCCACCCCCCCCCTCTCTCTCTCTCTCTCTCCTCTCCTCTCTCTCTCTCTCTCTCTCTCTCTCTCTCTCCTCTCTCTCTCTCTCTCCTCTCTCTCTCTCTCTCTCGCCACTCACCCTGCTGCGCTCGATCTCATTGGTGGTCATGACGATGACGCGCGAGTTCTCCTGCCAGATCATCCACCAGAGGTCCGCCCACGGTGGTGGGCAGACAGCCCTGGGTGGCGATGTACGTCTTGGTGGGGGCCCTCGCCCGCCAGCGTTGTCCTCCTCCGGCTGGCGGCGACACCATGAGCGCCCGGGTGAGTGGTCGGCGGCCAAAGGGGTCGACCCGGCCGTGCCCACCAGCGGCCACGGCCGGCCCGAGGCGCACCACCCGCACAAGAACAAACAGCCCCGGCACAAGCAGGGTCCGAATGAGCTCCGTCCCCAGCGGCGGGAGACGGCCCGCCACGGGTGGCCACGGGCGGATTAAGCGCGATAAAATGCATCTGAATTAAAACAGGCGCTGGCGAGCGCACTCCTAGCAACCGAGCCCGCAGGCCGGCCTCGACAGCTAGCAGATCGCGGCGCTGATCCAGTCGGCATTTTGCAGCACGAAGGCCGGCACATAACCATCACACGCACGAGCACCACCTAAGGTGTGCGGTCAGGAAACTAGATCTCTGCCCAGTGTTGAAAGGCAAAGGTCTGTAGTTTGTGACATGACAACAACCGCAACGCGACTACGCGATACTCCAGTCATCCAACCGAGCCCGGCAAGCAGAAGGGATATGCGGCCTAGGTCAGATAATGCCTCTGGAACATGGCATGACGTGCGAGGCTGATGCGGCCAGAGGTTTACAAGTCAAGACACTGCCGGGAACACTGAACCTGAAAGAAACAAACATGTGTGGAGGGCGGCGGACAACCTGAAAACCTCAGCACGCAAACGAGCGTGGGTCGGCGGCGCTCGTGACAGCGCGCCGCCCACGCTCGAAATGATGAGATCCCGCGGCGTTTCCGGATCAGCCACCGACGATCCGCTCAGAAGACATCCGGCCGAGATGACCACGACAGGCACCACACGAGAGACAATCACGCCGGTTAATCGGGACAACGCCGACCGTTCCGCAGCCACAGCTCCACAGCCCGCCGTCCTGCGGCTGATCACTCCACTCCACCGTGATGTAGTTGGCGTTGATGTAATCAGCGCCCGGCCCAGCCCGTCCCGGTCCCGCAGGATGACGCGCGTGTGGTCAAACGGCAAGATGTTCTTATATCGGTTCTTGTTGCGGCTCTCCGGCCGCTGGCCCTCCTTGCGCGAGTACAGGTGCTTGCACTCCTGCTGCTGCAGCGACTCGAACTCCTCCCAGAAGCCGGCGTTGTTGCCGTTGGTCGGTCCGTGCTCCTTCTGCGGACAGCGGCGGCCGAGAGTCACCGGGCGGCGTCCGGTGCGGCTCGTCACACAGCGGTGGCCAAGGGTCACCGGGCGGCGTCCGGGGCGGCTCGTCACACAGCGGTGGCCAAGGGTCACCGGGCGGCGTCCGGCGCGGCTCGTCACACAGCGGTGCCGAGGGTCACCGGGCGGCGTCCGGTGCGGCTCGTCACAAGCGGTGGCCGAGGGTCACCGACCAGCGTCCGGTGCGGCTCGTCACACAGCGGTGGGCCGAGGGTCAACGGGCGGCGTCCGGTGCGGCTCGTCACAGAGCGGTGGCCGAAGGTCACCGGGCGGCGTCCGGCGCGGCTCGTCACACAGCGGTGGCCGAGGGTCACCGGGCGGCGTCCGGTGCGGCTCGTCACACGCGGTGGCCGAGGGTCACCGACCAGCGTCCGGTGCGGCTCGTCACACAGCGGTGGCCGAGGGTCAACGGGCGGCGTCCGGTGCGGCTCGTCACAGAGCGGTGGCCGAGGGTCACCGGGCGGCGTCTGGTGCGGCTCGTCACACAGCGGTGGCCGGGGGTCACCGACCAGCGTCCGGTGCGGCTCGTCACACAGCGGTGGCCGAGGGTCACCGACCAGCGTCCGGTGTGGCTCGTCACACAGCGGTGGCCGAGGGTCACCGGGCGGCGTCCGTGCGGCTCGTCACACAGCGGTGGCCGAGGGTCACCGATTAGCGTCTGGTGCGGCTCGTTACACGGCGGTGGCCGAGGGTCACCGACCAGCGTCCGGTGCGGCTCGTCACACAGCGGTGGCCGAGGGTCACCGGGCGGCGTCCGTGCGGCTCGTCACACAGCGGTGCCGAGAGTTACCGGGCGGCGTCCGTGCGGCTCGTCACACAGCCGTGGCCGGGGGTCACCGACCAGCGTCCGGTGCGGCTCGTCACACAGCGGTGGCCGAGGGTCAAAGGGCGGCGTCCGTGCGGCTCGTCACACAGCGGTGGCCGAGGGTCACCGGTCAGCGTCTGGTGCGGCTCGTCACACGGCGGTGGCCGAGGGTCACCGACCAGCGTCCGGTGCGGCTCGTCACACAGCGGTGGCCGAGGGTCACCGGGCGGCGTCCGTGCGGCTCGTCACACAGCGGTGGCCGAGGAGTTACGGGGCGGCGTCCGTGCGGCTCGTCACACAGCGGTGGCCGGGGGTCACCGACCAGCGTCCGGTGCGGCTCGTCACACAGCGGTGGCCGAGGGTCAACGGGCGGCGTCCGGTGCGGCTCGTCACACAGCGGTGGCCGAGGGTCAACGGGCGGCGTCCGGTGCGGCTCGTCACACAGCGGTGACCGAGGGTCAACGGGCGGCGTTCCGGTGTGGGTCGTCACACAGCGGTGGCCGAGGGTCACCGGGCGGCGTCCGGCGCGGCTCGTCACACAACGGTGGCCGAGTCACCGGGCGGCGTCCGGCGCGACCCGTCACGCCCCTCGACGGGGGACGGCCGAGACACGGATCGAGGACGACAGATGAACGCGACGTGCCCCGGCGACGGGAGACTGATGCGAGCCGTCGCCAGCGGCCGTGGAAGAATGCGGGACCCCGCCAGCGCCGTGAGACGAACACGTCAGAGCACCGTGACAGGAGACGAATGCGGGGCGCGATGCCATGAATGCCAGTGGGCGTCACGATGTAACGAATGCGCCCCGCCAGCCCTGGCCGATGTCAGGCGACAGCGCTGACGGGAGATGACCTTGACCTGTAGCTCCCTGACGCGGTTGTCGATGCCGCTGGCGTTGATGCGCGTGGCGTTGAAGGGCATCTTCAGGTGTACCACGGTGCCGGTCGTCTCCACCATCGGGTTCCGCTTGTAGTTGTCCACCAGTTCGGCCAGGCTGTCGAAGCGCGTGCCGCCGCCCACGTCGTACTTGCCGTCCTAGGGGGGCGTCACACGCGTCAGCGCACGCCGCTGGCGGGCGGCTGCAGCCTCACTGGCACCACGCGCCGCCCGACAGACTCCGCAGTCGGCGCTGCACCACGCACCAGCGATTGTCATCGAAGGCTCGTCATTACGCTCCGTCTGAAGACAACCACACAGAAGACAGGCTATCCACTTTTGGCAGCGCAACGCTCCACATTTTGTGAGGTTTCCTGCGTGTCTCCGGACACGGGGGGCTGCGCCAGAATACGATGGATGGGTTGATACGCGGACGCGTCAGAGCACGCTCGAGTCGGTCTCCTCGCAAAACTCAACCAGCTCCAATACCGTGTTTACCTGCGTTGCGTTCAAAAGCGAGGCAGCACCGTTAAAGCCCTACCCCACCTGGGTCTTGTCTCTCACCTGACAGCGTATCATGACGTGCGTGATCCGATCATCAGTTCTCACGGACAGGACGTAGTCGCCAGGCTTGCTCAGCGACTCCCGCACCAGGAAGCTGCCGTTCTTGCCCTTCTCCAGCATCAACTTCTCGGCCTCGCGTCCCGGTAGGTGGCCATGGAACCACCTGGCGGCCGGCGGAGAAGGCGACGTTACACGGCAGTGCCGCCAGAGGGAGCGGCGCACGGCACGCCGGCAGACACGCAGCCTCCCGGCACGAGACCGGCGCTGGCCGCCCGCGCCGCCGTCTGGCGGCCTGCAGACCGACGCGGGCAGCGGACTGGAGAGGGCGCGGGCCGCCGTCCAGCGCGGTGGCGGGGAGGAGGCGAGCTGCTGTCAGTCCCGCCGGTAACTGACCCCAATGGCGGGGAGCGGAGGCGCCGGGCGACGAACCACGACGACGACGTCGGCGCCCTACTGTCGTGCCCACACATCTGAGCCCGCAAGGAATGCTGCCCGCCGGCCCCGCCGGCTGCCGAGCCCGCACCGAAACCCCGACGGCGAACAGTCGGCACTGTCTTTATTACCTACTTCGGCGCCGTCAAGGTGCCATTAAATTGACAGCGTGACCTTTTGGGACGGCTTAGCGGGTCCCGAAGGAACGGCTGGCCCCAATACTGCCACCGCCGCATCAACAAAGCCCAACTCCTCCGAGAACATGGTGTGCTCAACGTTAAAAGGCATGCCACTCTTAGTGGTGCAAGCGTGGTGTGGAGCTCATACATGTCCTGCAAAGTCCCAATGCAATAACAACGATCGCTCATGTGACCACAGCGTAACCGTACAACTACCTAATGAATACCAAGATAAATGAGAATCGCGGACAGCTGGTCTGGGTGGTATTTGGTTATCTAAGAATACCCTGAAATATTGTCTCGAGCCTTCAACGCAAAAACAATATTCAAACCAGCAGACATCAGTCTACATAAGCAAGCCCCATGCGTCGTCCCAGGGCTGGCAGAGAGCCATAGGCATACACCTAATTTGAGAGGACGCTTCCCTGTGAGGCCTAAGCCAGCTACACACCTCAGGGAGCTATCCACCTGCGCTATCCAATAGTGTCTGTACTATCAACACCGGAGATTACATCAACAGAGCAGCAGCGAATCTTGCGTCACCCGCCCAACCCATAAAAAAACATGCCCTCCCTGATTACGACAGGCCTGAGACTGAAACCGCGCGCCACTGCGTGCCAGCAGCTGGTCGTGCAGATTCGGGCTTCCTGCTGGATTATTTTGCTGTGAAGCTGCGCCACATCCTTTGTTTGCTAATTTCTTCCGGGCGTAGGTCATTCGGCCACATTAGGGGCCGACCCGGGCGCTGTGCAATAACCGAATGTCGTGGATACTTTCTCACTCGACTTTTGCCGCTCCAGAGCAGCTCAAGTGCACGAGGGTCACCAAAGGGCAGCTTCAGTGGCCACCCGCCAGCAAGCGCCGCCGGCAGCCGCGCCAGGCCGTCGTGTTTCACCGGCCCGCGAGCGGGGTGGGGTGCCATCTTCCACCCCTGGCTAACCGACCTCCTGGCGCCGCCCCTGCCCGCCGGGGGAGGGGGGGGGGGGGCGAAGGTCGTGATCGCGCGGCGGGGCGCAGCCCTGCTGTTGCTGGGCGGCAGACGGCGCAACGCCGCCCCGCCCCTCCGCGCCGCCGCCAGCACCTGCGCCGCGAACCGGCCGCCGGCCGTCGGCTCAGGAGCCGGCGGCCGGCGGCGGCGGCGCGGCGCGGCTGGCCGGGCGCCGGCGCGGCCGTTCCCGGTGCCGGCCGACCGCAGAGCCGCGCCAGTCTGTTACTGAAGCGGCGTCTGGCGCCGGGGCTCCGGACCACGCGCCGACGCGGTGCGCGCCCGGCTCCAAGTCCGGCTCCGGCCCCAGCTGCTGCCGCATCTGCGGACCGGCCGGGCCGCTCCGGCGGTGGCCGTCGCTTCTCCGCCGGAAGCCGTAGGCGGCGGCCGGGGCGGCCGCAGGAAAACAGCGCAGCGAAAGCTGGCGCTGACCGCCGCCGACGCCGGGCGCGCCGCGATGCGCTGATGTCATCTGGCGACGATGATGCCGGTGATCGACATGCCGTCAGCTGGCGCCGACCAGTCCGTAAACGGGCCAGCACGTGCGCAGGCCCAGAGCCGGTTGGCCGCCTCTAAAAACCGGCCGGACCGGCGGCGGTGTCGTCGCACGAAGCGGACGGCGCGCCGCGGCCGACCGGCCCGCAGCCACTGGCTCACCGGCTGGGCGGCGGCACGGCACGACCACCCCGCCGCACACAGCCCCGAACCGCAGCCGAAGCCAGCTCCGTCGCCCACTACCTCACACAGCGGTGAGAGAAACGGCCCTGCCCGGGCCAGCGCGGAAAACGAGCCTGCGTAGGCCGCCCTCCCCCCACGCACGAGATACACGCCACAGAGCTCAAGACTCCCACTCTCGCCTACCCGTAGTCACAAAAACGTTACTTAATACCTGTCCCTGCCTTCCGCCACGGATTCTTGCAATCTCAAGTACAATGAACACAGCTCCCTCCACCCAGCTCAACCTACTGCTCCTATTCATCCGACACACCACACTCGTTCTATTCACCACACAGCTTCCTGAAAGTGTTAAAATACATGTAACAACACATAGACAAAGCAGCAGTACTAGTCTTATTCCTCGTACAAAGAACAGGAGAATGGAATTAGGATGCGCTGATATTTCAGAAACTTGTCTTATAAAACGAATTGCAGAAGGAAATTGAATCAATAATTTTTACGTTACTTGAATAATAATTTCACTTCTGCCTATTCGTTTCCAAAAAGCATGTCGCCGGAAATATTAATGCATCTACATCTCAATTTTCCTGGTTTTTCTACCACGAATAAGGCTCTAACTAATGTCTTATCTATGTGCATAATGTTCCTGGTAAATGTACTCAACAGCTGACATGTAACAGCTCCCACATCCTATTCCAGCAACACGTCACCGCTTCGTTGAGTCCCATTTATGTGCGCAAGAAGCACTTTCAACTTTCAGCCACTGGTTTTTCAGCATTCTAAGTTAGTACGCCGCAAACAACTGACCTTAAGCACACCAGGGCTTACTCGCTAAACGAACGTGATCAATAAACCATTGGTATATATCACGAACAACGGGAGGGCCACCCGTGACCCTGAGGGCTGCCATGAAACGTCGAGTTCTGTCCTAATATATATTAACGATTGTTTGATAGCATCGTTTAACCAGTACCTTTTGGTAATCGAAAGACCAGTTACTGGCAACACAAGAACGCATATTGCTGGGGCCAGCTTGGCCCCGGGCTCCTCCTCTTTACAGTTCAATAACACAGAGCAGGGGATCAGCGAGTGTCGGCGCCTCGGGGTACCACGTCACAATGCACGCATGGTGACCAGCCCAATCGTCACTTCGCCGAGCCCAATGGATGATGAAGACAGTGGGGCGTCCCATTACCGAACGATGCCTCCCCTTGGCGGGTGCGCCGCCTCCCCCCGGCGGGTACACCACCTCCAGCCCCGGCGACCACGCTGCCTCCACCACGGCGATCACGCTGCCTCCCCTCGTCAGGTACGCTGCCCTCCGCTCGGCGGGTGCACCGCCTCCCGCTCGGCGGGTACGCCGCCTCCCCTCGGCAGGTACGCTGCCTCCCCCTCGGCGGGCACGCTGCATCCCCTCGGCGGGCACGCTGCCTCCTCTCGGCGGGCACACCGCCTCCCCTCGGCGGGTACGCCGCCTCCCCTCGGCGGATACGCTGCCTTCCCCTCGGCGGGCACGCTGCCTCCCCTCGGCGGGCACACCGCCTCCCCTCGGCGGGTACGCCGCCTCCCCTCGGCGGGTACGCCGTCTCCCCTCGGCGGGTACGCTGCCCCCCCCCCCCCCCTCGGCAGGCACGGCGCCGCCCCGCACCAAGTTTACGTTTTCTTTCTGGGAAAACCGCTCCGACTGAACGTCACACAGCTCAAACCAAATGACGCCACGAGTGCCCGGTTCGTCCTCCCCCGTCCCTCCCTGCCCCGTGTCGTCTACAGCAGTACGCGACATCCATCGCAGAACTCTGGGAAGTAGGCTTAAGAAGTGTCATGAGAACAAATATCCTGCAGCCTGGGCCCCATACTGATAGCCGCGGCCGCAGCCACCGTCTCTCCAGCTCCGAGCCACAGGTGAAGGCCAGCCCAGACCGCAGATACGGGACAGGTAGCCGGGGAGCGGGCGCCGTCGTCGTCAAGCCGGCCCGCCGTAAAGGCATCCGCAGCACCACCCCATGACACCAGTCGGCGAGAGAAGTTTGCCGTCGCCATTCAGATAAGTTAGCTTAAACGGGAAGTTTCGGGTCCATTGGGGAAGCGAGTTGGTAATACCGTTCGCACTGCGCAAACGGCAGACGTGGATGTACATAAATCGCGTGACCGCTGCAGGAAAAACGCCATGGAAGGAATGCATACCATATGATTTCAGCACAATTTTTAACATGCAACTCACGTGCAGTGTGTGTCTGTGATCTCAAAGTGGTAAGTCCAAAGCCCAGGAGCTGATATTTTCATAAGTCGTGGATGTAAATTCACTTTTCAGGGCCGTCACAATTCACTTTTCAGGGCCGTCACAATTCACTTTTCAGGGCCGTCACAGCTTCACTTCTGCCTTTCGTTTCGATAAAGATATGTTGCCGACATATCAGCGCATCTATATCTCCATTCCCCTGGCTGTTATCCGAGGAATAAGGCTATTACTACTGTCTTATCAATGAACTGAGATTTACGTAGCAGGCAGGCAAGGCAGCAAGGAGCGCCAGGCATGCGCGAGATGACGACATTTTGCTGATATGTGCAAGGGAACATATTGTGCGGCACGCCAGCCACAGAAAAGACTATCGCTACGGCGCCCGTGATGACAATTCAAGCCATCGATTTACCTGCAGGTTTCAGGGCATGCCATTAACGTAGGCCGGGGAATTCCATGACAAAGGTAGCACAAGATATCGCAAGCGAAAGATGGCATGGCCAAAGATGACCATGCGGTAGCACCGGCAACCGGCACCCACAGCCGGGATGTTGCCGCCCCGCAGTGTTCCAAAATCATTTTTTGGTAGGGTGTGCGGATGTAAAAAAAAACTTTAAGGGGAGGTCGAAATTTGATGTTAAAATGGGCAT